TGACACTGACGAATCCTCTAACGGATTCCGGCCCCTTATGCCTCCCTTCCCAGACACTGACTGAATCTCATAGGATCCAGGCCCCTTATGCCCTCCCTTTGTGCTCACGGCACCAGAAACAGATGTGCTCATATTAGCCACCAGAATACATATATAGTGCTTATAATACCTAAGATTTCCTCGGTTCCGGAACAGAACAGATTTCAGATTGAGCTCATTTCAGATTTCCCAGACACTAACTGAATCTCATAGGATCCAGGCCCCTTATAACTCCCTTTTTATAACATATACAGATAGCATATCAATTCAGAAAATCCAGACAAAATCAGAAATCAGACAAAAATCGGGAACACAACAGCAGTATACGGAATTTACACAATTTTTCCTGAAAATCTACAATTCACCAAATTTGCACAGAATATAGATAATAACATTTTCAGAATATTTATTCTACTGCACAGAAAATTTTCAATTTACACAGAGAAAAATCCAGTCGACTAAAAACTCCGTCGAATCAAAAAATATCCGGACAAAAATCTTCAAATATATTCAAAATGTGCCACACCCGGCACGGCAACGATATACAGAAAGTTACGCGGTAAAAACTGAACCAATCAAAAGATACGGACGAAAATCGCTAACGGAAACAAAATCCGAAACAGAAAAATACCGCCAAACACGACGGTTCTAAAAATTGAGAAAGGCGGAATGTGCCTTACCTTGCGTACCAGCAATTCCTAAAGTCTCGTCGAACGAAAACAAGCTCCGCGGCTTCCCGAAATCAACTTTCCAAAATTTCTTTTTCGACTTTTTCTCTCTCCTTGAAAAATCAGATATTTTGTTTTTTATTTTCTCTCTCTTCAAAACGACTGATTTCAGCTTTATAATACACAGATCGGCGCCGGCCGATCGCCAGATCGTCCAGGACGGTTCCCAGGACTATTTTTCGGCCGATATTTTCTACAGTGCCAATCGGCCTGGCCGAAGTCCTCGATCGGCCTGGACGATGCCTACAGGAAACACCTGGAGCAAATCTGGGCAAATTCTGGAGCAGATTCTCAAACTGATCTTCCAGGACGATCCAGATCGTCCTGGACGATCCTGGAGGGAGATTTTGATCAATTACAAACCGCCTTTGCGCAATTCATTAAAAAACGCCAAGCCTAGAGTTTTTTTTTTTTGAGGCTTTGCGCCTCAACTTTGGTTTGATGTGTCCGCTTGCAGGCCACCTTGCCTTCACGTTGCATGAGCCCTTTTACGCCTCAACGCATATATATATATAGAAAACTTATATAAATCTTGAAGTAAATGCCCGACATTTGAACTATATAGAAAGAGAAGGGGAGAGAGCCCAGTTCATCATAATGAATGATTTCAAATAAGAACCCCTTAGTGATGATAGTGCTATGAACTTAATAAGTTTTATGTGATATGTCATTGCTATTTATTTTAGAAATTTTAATCATATGTTAATGGAAAAGAATACTGGGATTTGGGAAAAGATAGAATTTTGAGTTGAACTATATTTCATTTGTCTTAATTATTGGGATATTTTGATTTCACTTCATATCTTATGCTTTTTTATGTTTTATATTATTCACTCATTCGTATATAAAAAATTTATCAGTTTATGTTTACGCAATCTTTTGATTTTGAGGCTTATGCCTCAAAACGCCTTGAGGTTTACGCCTCGCCTCACAAATGAAAAACGCCTCAATACCCGAATACGCAATTTTAAACATTGGTTTGGGATAACGGAACCATGGGATCTTGATCGAACCTATCATCATTCCCCCATCACCTACTTTAAGTTTATAGTGATGAATTTTAAATCATGAACTCCAAAATTCAAACCCTAAAATTGTTGCTAGTATACGCTCGATAATCATTGCGATCTATTTAACGACCAACCTTAATCGAAAGTTCTCTCTTGTTATCGGAGGGGTAATTAACTCTAGGCTTGTGCCTATAGGAAACCATAACTAAGATTATAAAGTCCTCACAAAATGAGGGTGAAATCTCTGGGTAGTGTCTTATTTAAAACTCAATCAGCTTTCTGAAAATTTACATTGGAACATAAATCCGTTAAAACTCTCCCCGTCAATAAAAAAAGCGCGGAGAGGTCGGGGCGCGAATTTTTTGAGCCCACAATTAAACACTGAAATCTTTATAGCATTGTCAATATTTTCAATTTTATAAAATTTAAATTTAAGTCCCTATGCGTAAAACCTGAAATCGACAATCATAAGCGTCGCACGCATTTGATGCGTCGCGACGAAATTAAGTAAAAATTTAATGTCATCGGATTTCGACGAAATAAATTTTATAAAATTCTATGCAAAATTCAAAGCAATTTTATATAAAGAATATATAGTCAATTTAGCTTAATTTTGAAGTTAAAATTAATAGAAGTTTCATAATACCCAAACTAGCCCTAGTAACTATTAAAGCGGGGATTATTCAAGTGAGGGCATTTAGGACTTTATACAATTAAAACCTAAACCCTTCCCTCTTTAATTGGTCCCCATTCTATTGTTTTGGCTGAACTGAAGGAAGGGAGGCAGAAGGGAGGCGGAGGCGGAAGGGAGACTTCGAGCACGGTTCCGACGGCGGTTTCCGGCGGCCGGATTTGAGGGAAATTGTAGAAGGTAAGGGGAAGATTAAGGCATGTTTTAATTTAAGAAAATCCCTCTCATTCTCAAGATTTTTGGAAGAGAAGATTTTTAGGGTTTTTCTAAAATTGAAAATTTTGTTTAGAAAATGATAGGATAGGAGTAGGAAAGGATTTGAATCATGAAAATGTAAAGTTCTCCTGAAGTTTTCGAGTTTTCAAATTATGGCTTTTTCCAAAATGTAATTTCCTTTGAGAATTCTTTCACTAATGTTATTCCTAATGATCTTAGAAATGTTTTAATGGTTAAAATTTAGGGTTTTTAATAATTTTTAAATTAAATAATCCAAAAATAAATTAAGGTAATAATTAATCATGTTTAGGGGAAGGTTTGGAAGGGATTTGAGATGAAATTGATGATTTTTAAGTTTCCAAAATTTTAGTATATTATTAAATCCGAAAATTCAAATTAAATTATTTTAATTTTCTTAAGCGTGGTGAGGATCGAATAGTAATCAAGGAAAATGTTAGACAATTTAAGAATGCATAAAACTTTAAGAAAATTACCGTTGACATTCCTACTTGTGTGATCTTAGGTTTTGATCATAAAAGGACGCCTCGAGCTTAAGCGGCATCGATGTGGTTTACGATACTTGCGAGATAGAGCATTTAAATTAAGTTCATGAATTTAAATTAAGTTAATCTTGCACTTTCAAATTCACATGCTAATGTTTATGAATTCTTTAATTGCTTTAGTTTTTCAATTATGTTTATATTCATATCATGATATTAAAAATGTTGAAATTTGCAAAACAAAAATTCAAGGCATAACTGATACCCAATTATACATGAAGAGATTTAAAGAACAAATTATTTTATGAATAATTTTAGTCTCTTTGATGTATATAAATATTATGATTCGTATGTGCATGATGATTCGGAGTACCACATGGTAAAAGGGTTCTACAGAGCCAATGGTAATGGAATTCTATGGAGCCAATGGTAAAAAGGTTCTTCGCAGCCAAATGATAAATGAATGATCAAAAATATGACTGTGTACCTAATCAGTACAAAAAATTTTAGTACTTCCAGGACGGGTGCTTATTATATATTAGGTTATGTATTTTAAGTATTTAATGAAAAGACTATAAATGAGAAAGGAAACGTTTACGAAAGTTTATGAAAAAAGAGAGGAAAAATGTCTAAAGGAAAAGCTTCTAGAAAACTGAATGTAAAAAAAGTTTTATGATTTATGCCTATCAATATTTATTGCAATCATTTAATTATTTTAATTCATGCTTAATGACATGTTTAAAAATATTTCATGAATTTAAGATAAATGCTTATCACCTGCTGAGCATTAGCTCATCCTACTTTTGGAAATATTTTTCAGGAGAAAGTGATAAAAACTGATGGCATCAAGACGACAATTTACCTACCATCGTAGAGGGCCTCAGAATGTCAGGTTTTTATATTTTCCGTTTTAAGTTGAGTAAGTGGTTCTAATGTGGAGTATGTTGGTATTTATGTGTTTATATTTTAGTGGTTGTATGTTTTGATGAAATTATTGGAAAACTGTAAGTCGGATGTTTTAGTAGCTCTTTCTTAAGTTGTATGGATGATGTTTATGATTATATCTTTTATGAAGTGAAACTGTTATGATTTAAATGTTATTTGTGTTTTTCGTACGACTATCTGTTCCCGCCCCGTTAATTCGAACTAGCCGGGCCGGGTCGTGACACTATGATATCATGTAATCGCATAACACTCATGAGCCATTTCAGCATATTAACCAACTAGACTATACTCTAAAAGTTATATCCTCTTTTTTTTCCATAATAAATCCAACATATCATACTTAACTACATTTTATATTATAATAATATTGATGATTGATAATTATTAACCACTCTCAGAAAAATTGCATAGAAGGTAATAAGGATATGTTTGAGATGACTGTAACATTCTATGATGTAATTCTAATGTTATTGAAAATTCTAAGAATTTTAATAAGATAATAATGGACCCTAGTAATTCTACCAAGGCTTTCAAATTTTACCAAGCTTTTGTAAAACCTATTTAAAAATAATAAATATTTCAGTTGACCAAACATGAAAAAGAGATGACCCGGCTCAAGATCACTCAATTGGAGTTATTAAGGAAGAAGAAAGATTAGTAATTAGTATATATTAAACTTATTTAATCATCAAGACCTTAAGTGTCCTTGTCAACAAAAACAACAAAACTTTACTGACAAGTTCACCAAAAGCAATGGCTAATGTTCTTTTTCAAAAATAAGCTAAACTGCAGGAAGTAATAATAAAATTTATGTAATTCAGTTTATGATAAAAGCCCTTGAAAATATTATAACAAAACCGCTGAAGCATACCTTCACGATAAAAAATGTTACAGGCACTATACTTTGGGAAGAAACTGCAATCCTGGACGATCAATAAATTAAATCAATATAGTTGAAACCAAAACTGCTACCTAAAGAGGAATTAGATTGATTTCATTACCTGAACTTGAATGCTAGAATGCTTATTAACTTCAAGGATAGAGCGATAAAAAAATTTGAGTCTCAAGCTACCCATAAATTTAGCGTTATCTGAAAACAAGACTGCCATTTTGCTGTTGTCTCAAGTTCTCAATCAAAGATTGGTAGAAAGATTTAAAAGCCTTGTTATCATTTCCCTGGTCAGAAAGGTACACATATCAGAAATAAGTGCACGGGAAAGAATAACTAAAAAAAAGGGTTGGCAACGCAGTTGTCATGTGAGTATTAAACAATAACATAGAGGAAACACATGCCCCTGCTAAAATTTGACTCTACAAACCAAAAGAAATGGAAAAAGGTTCATATGCATATATACAAAGCCAATTCTTAAAGGTTTTAGAAGAGTTAAAACTTTGCCTAGTAAGAGGCTTGGATATTCAAGATGCCTTGAAGAACTGCAGGAAGGGTTACTACATGTAAATTTAGTAGTAAAACAAGAATACCTTCTAAAAAAAATTCCTTTTTAAATGCACTGCAGTTAATTGTTTCCAAAATATTCTGAAGAAAACTGAAGCATAATTGTGCAAGAAACAAAGGTTTAACTGCATTTGCATGTGCAGGAAGCTCAAAGTTGATTAAGAGAAGTTATCATTATGATGCTAAAATTGGTCCAATAAATTTTTTTTTTTCAAAAAGGACAAAAAAAGTTACAGCTAAGGCAAAAACAGGCAAGCCACAAACCCGAGACAGCCAAAACCAAAAACATATACAAAGAGAACACTGAAAGAAAGAGAAGAAGGCACAACGGCCGTCAGGCTCAGCAAAGGCACAGACAGCGAACCACTCCAAATCCAAGCACGGACCATCCAGAGGGGTGAGAAAGCCCACCAAAAGCCAACCAACCACCATCACTGATAATAAGAAGAATCACTACCTAAGGTTGCCAACTAGCCACGGATTGGAACAATGAGCCCGAGCCACATCATTGCCTAGAAACCGCTAGCAAAATTCGCAAGACCAACATAAGACAACCAGAAAAGGCAACAAGAATCCGCAGAGAAGGGGGCAACGCAGCAGACACCACACAATTATTTCCGACCGTGTTTACCCCTCCCACGAGAGAAAACAGATACAACAGGACGGTCCTTTTGTAAATCAATCTTAATAGCAGGTTCATCCACCCCACTATCCTCCGAAGAGGAATCAGACGAGTATTGAAGCCAATCAATCTGCAACCTAACAGCCTCACCCGAATTAGCACCCACATGATCAACCAAAGCCTTAGGAGATAAAAGATTAACCGGAACCTCAACAAACCGTCCAATAACTTGGTCAATAGGCGTAAACAGGGGAAACATCAACACGGGCAGAACCCACATTTACCAAGCGAACACCAGATTCATCTGCTCGGTCAAGACAAAGCTCAATAGGATTGCGAGACAAATCCGAAAACTCCACAGTCACCTCAGGCTCAACAAACCTAGGCAAACAGGACGGGGCAGACACAGCACCCAAATAGGAAAAAACGGAACTGGAATTAACAACACAACTCACACGGCCAACTTCACTAGCACAATCCCGAGAACCCTGAACAGCAGGCAATAAAAATCAGCAAACTTGTGTTATCAACCAAAATCACAAGCACACAAACTCCAATCTGCTTCTTGTTGATGACATTCCTTTTACAACAATAAGCTTGTAACTCAAGGGCATAGTGACGGCATACTGACCATTGAAAACTAAACTTTGCATAATGTAACTGTAAATAAAGCCACTGACAAGGAAAACATATTTAAGCACGACTCAAAAAGAAAATATTCAAAATTTTCTTTAGTGAGATCTCTACTACATTAGTTATGAATTAATTGTATCTATCTCGCATAAAGTAAATTCGCAAGGTTTTAACTTGACAGATAACATAAATTGTATAAAAGCAGTTGGCACCTGCAAATGTTGATAGTACTGTTCTGCTGAATCTTGCGGACACTGAGCAGCCAGGAGACCATTTGAGATGAAGTAAGCAATAAAATCATCGCCAAACTTTTCATACATGACCTTCTGAGCCAATATGATTTCACCAAAAAGAATCAGCTGACCAAAAAAAAAGGTTGAAAATGAGTCTGAAACACAGTAACGGATGGATTTGTGCTAAGATTAAACTCATTATGACCTAGATATCATATCAGCACCATGATAGTTGACGTACACTCAGGATTAATCCATTAGAACTAATATAACCACATAAAAAAGGTACTAAGCTGACATTAGCAAAAAATAGGGTGAACAGAGAAGTGTGAAAATTGAAATGCATTGATCATAATCTATTATGCGAAGCAATTATTCATGAGAAGAAAATGACAGGGATGCTAATTTGGTTAGCATTCCTGGTCAACCTACATATTATGCCTAAAAGTCACAGATTTGAACGACATGAACAACCTCTCTCAAGTTAAACGATAAGGTAGCATACATCAATCATTTGCAAACACCGAATTGGCAGGAACTTTCAACATTTGAGACACTTTTAAAGCCCAGGATTCATTGAATAAAACTTACTGACTGCGGCAAATTGTGGATGGTCATCAAAGTATCAAAAAAGTTCAGGAACATGAAGCTTAACTTGATGGGGACATCAATGCATGGAAGGTTTATCATAGAAGGGGCCGTAGATCGACGGCCACAATTGAGTCATTATATTATTAGTTGTTGTGTGTGTTGTATGTGATTTAATTTAGTTTGTGAACATTTTATTAAGGTTATGTTGTAAGCCCAGGGCATTTGTGTCTTTTTTGTCTTGTCATGTGGTGGAGCCTATATATATGACTCTCTCCCTCCCTTGTAAGGTGATGATGATTATTTTTGAATGAATTATGATTTCAGCCCTCTTCTCTTGTGTGAGAGTGAGTGTGATGGAGTGGTGAAGCCTTAAGAGAAAACAAATGAAGTATCCAACAGCCCATTAAGGTGAGCTCTTATTTTTCCTCTTGTATCTCTTCTCCTTACCCTCCTTCTTCCTCCCTAACTACCGGTCAACCACTCTTCCCCTCCCTTTCTCGGCCAGCCACCCCTTACCCTTCCACCGCCCACGGCAAGCCCACCACCACCACCTCCCCATCGAAGTTCCCAATCCAAAATTTCCCAAATCTGAAATTTTGACATTTGGGATTCTAATAGGACCTCACTTGTCTCTTGGAACTCTTCATATTAATTAATGAGAAGTTGACCCATTAATTGCCTCTCCTTATTTTCATTTTCAAAATTAGTTGGGAATTGGAAAAGCCACAACCCTTTCCCTTTCCCATGATTGGCCCACTCTTGGAACTTTTCATGTTAATTAATGGGAAGTTGACCCATTAATTGCCTCTCATTTTTTTTTTCATTTTTAAAATTAGCTGGGAATTGGAAAAGCCAAACCCCTTTCCCTTTCCCCATGGTTGGCCCACTCTTGGAACTCTTCATGTTAATTAATGGGAAGTTGATCAATTAATTGCAAAGTTTACATTTCCCTTTCCCAAAACTACTTTTTCATTTTTCAATCCCACTCTCTCCCATTCCCCTAAGCCCCACCACTCTAATTAACCACACACCATTCCTACTATCCCCCAAATAGCAAAAATTGTGGCCTCCCTCCTTCCAGATTTAGGCTAGCATCTCTTCTTCTCCACTATGAAGCAAGACACAAGGAAGGCACTACCGGGCAACCCTTTGAAGATCAACCAGCCGAGACTACACATATGAAGGAAGCTTCCCTGCGACGCAAATACCTAAGTCTTTCAACTCTTACTTCATATATTTAAGTAGATATCATTGAAGTCCAATTCTCTGTGGCATCACTATTTTCATGTTAGTTTAAATCTGCTAGATTCTTAAATCATTGAGTGCATGGTTCTTGTAGTGACTAATCTATGCTAAAATGTTGGATCTTTTTTGCCAACCCATGTTAGCTAAGTTATTAATTTGATTTATGTTTCTTGAATCTTAGAACTTTGGTTGTGGTTAATGGTTATTTGTGGATTGTCTTTCTTACTTGTTTTGAAGCTTGTTTATGCATCCCCATGATAAATAGCTTGCTGATTTAAATTCAACTTGTGTTTAATTTCATAATGCAAGTCTTCACATGCTAGTCCTATATCATTTGGTATCAGAGAATTGTTACCCTAGTTGCATGTGCTAGGATCCATCCTATTTACCTTCATTTTAGCCTCTAGTTGCATTTCTACATCAACATATCATTGACCTTTACTTGCGTGTCATTTTGTTTGCAAAGTCTAGGTGCTGTCCACTTTCCTTTAACATGTATTGTGTCACCTAGTTGACATCTCATGGACCCTGAACAGTTGCAGCGAACTCTAGACGTTTTGGTAGGTCAAATAGGCAACTTAATCTAACAAGTTAGGGCTGACCAAGCCAATGCTGCTGAATTTCGTCGGCTCACAATGGAACGCCTTGACAACCTTGATAGAGCTAGGAGCCTACCCTCTCTTTACACACCATCTAGGCCACCCTCCTTGATGAGAGATGATTTGAGCCATAATGAGGGTCACCCCCATGCCCCTTACCCGCCCCAACAACCTAGGCAGGACCGAGACCTATCTCGTGGTCTAGAAAATGTGTTCAGTCATGAGGCTCATCATGCGCATGAAGGAGACCCCCATGGCCCCCACTGTGACCATCAAGCTAGGTAGAACCATGAGTGATCTGGATGCTCCCCTCTTAAAGAACATCAGGATAAATGCCCCCACCTTTGATGATAGCCTTGATCCTCAAATCTTTATTGACGGTATTGGACCAACTTAGAAAACCTTAGGGAGTTTTAAGGTGAGTATCCTATTACCAACTGGAGAAACATGAAGTGTGAGCTTAGGCCAAAGTACCTCCCACCCTCATTTTTCCCTCAACTCTTACATCGGTGGAAATAGACTGACTCAGGGTAGCAAATCTGTGAGGGACTACATTTCTGCATTTGATGATTTCATAATTAGATGCAGTGGTGAGACCACCACCACACCTGCCCAGATTCTATTCATGTTTCGTGCTGGGTTGCATGAGGATCTCCGCAATGAACAATTTGCTAGAAATATCACTACCCTGGAAAGTGCCTATAGTTTGGTACTTGACCTTAAGGAGTTTAAACCTCAACATCCTACCGTCACCAGGATGTCAAATAGACATCTTCTTTTAGACCCTCTAGGAGCTTGGGCCCCTATGCCTCTACCCCTAGGCCGCCTCCTAGCCCTGCTAGTCGAACCCCGGCTGGTTCACCCCAACTCCATCATGACAGTAAGAGCAAGTCTCCAGTACTTGATTCACCTAGGACCCACCCAAGGACCAAGTGCTTTAGATGTCAAGGATATGACCATATTGCCTCCCAATGTTCTAGCCCTCATAAGGTCATTATTATTGAGGAGATTACTGGAGATGGGCAAATTATTGCATCCGGTCACCGGACGGGGAGATAGGTTCGGATATTAATAAAATATTATTTTAAATTAAGCGCAGGCAAAGCGCAAGTAAAAGCGCAAGTCAAAAGCGCAGGTAAAGCGCAGTCAAAGCGCAACTAAAGCGCAGTCAAAGGTGCATGTGACGTGGCAAGTTTTTATTGGATGTCTGAACCTATCCTCTGCGTCCGGTGAGCGGATGCAATAATTTGCCCTAAAGATGACCCTGAGCCTAAAGTTGAACTCATTCACCAGGTAGATGCTGATGTTGACTTCTTTAATGAGGATGAGAATGATATTGATGTCATCAATTGCATCAAGAAATGGGACCCCTCTCCCCTATGTGTCGTGAGATGTGCACTGTCAAAACCCAATTTGTTGATGACTAGCATAGGACTTTCAATTTTCACACCACCAAATTGAAGGATAAAAATTGCATAGCCATCATCGATAGCAGCAGTTGCATCAAAGTTTTCTCCTCCATCTTGGTGACCCACCTTGTATTGTCTGTTATTCCCCACCCCAATCCATATAAGGTAGCTTGGGTCAACTCCACTATATTAGAGATAAAAGAACGAAGCCTCATACCCATCTCCTTTTTCAGATTATAAGGAAAATATTTAGTTTGATATCCTTGTTATGGATATGGGTTAGGTTATCTTGGGCCGCCCCTGGCTTTTTGATAACAATGTCCACATTTATGGTCATTTAAACATCTGTGTGTTTGAACATGGTGGCAAGACGATCAAGCTCTTGCCTAGTCAGCCAAAGTCTAAGGATGAACCTAAATCTAAGAAAGATGCCATTTATGTCGTAGTAGACAGATTCTCCAAGATGGCTCACTTTTTAACCTGTTCTAGGACTTCTGATGCCTCAGATGTTGCCAATCTTTATTTTAATAAAGTGGTTAGACTATATGGGTTACCCAAAACCATCGTGTCTGATAGAGATGTCAAATTCACAAGTTATTTTTGGAAAACCTTATAACTGAAAATGGATACAAAACTTCAATTCTCCACAGCTTTTCACCCCGGATTGATGACCAAACTGAAGTGGTCAATATAAGTTTAAAAAATCTTTTGAGGATACTAGTTGGTGATCATGTTAGAGATTGGGATTCCAAACTTCCTATTGATGAATTTGCCTACAATAACTCGATGAACCGCTGCACTGGCCTGAGTCCTGCTAGGGGTGCAAACGAGTCGAGTCGAGCTCGAGTCTAAGAGGTGTTCGAGCTCGACTCACGAGTTAAACACCGAGCTCGAACTCAACTCGGATTACATAAACGAGCTCGTCTAGTGTCACGACCCGACCCGGCTAGCCCGAGTTAATGGGGCGGGAGCAAAAAGGTCGTACATAAAAAACATAAATAAACATAAACCATTTATATTAATGCTTTAAATATCATCCAAATATAAATTAAAAGAGCCACTAAAAATACACCCGAAATGAAAATAAAAGTTCTAAACCATTACCCGACCCGGCTAGCCCGAGTTAATGGGGCGGGAGCAAAAAGGTCGTACATAAAAAACATAAATAAACATAAACCATTTATATTAATGCTTTAAATATCATCCAAATATAAATTAAAAGAGCCACTAAAAATACACCCGAAATGAAAATAAAAGTTCTAAACCATTTACTGTCTCACAT